TACTGGCATGCCATTTTACTCTGCAGAGTGCTTGAAGGTCTTGGCTTAATGGTTTTCTGATCCATAAGCCTAAGTGTCATCCTAATTCCAGGCTTACATCTAACCCTAGGTTTAGTAGAAAATTCCCACGGGTGTGCACCTGCTGCTAAGTTCTCGAAGAAGTCCTGTTGTGTCAATCTTGTGGTGAACCTGGCATGCATTTTACAGCGCAGAATGCTGGATGCCATAATGTTTGTGAATTTGTCAACCCTAATCCTAGGTAGAACCCGACCCCTTGGCAAAACAGTACCCATAAACATAAGCCTAAGCCTAAGCCAAGGATTAAATCTTTATGAGGATGACCCTGATGCCAAGCAGAAAGGTGATGGTGGACCCATGTTTTGGTAGTTTTCTGTTGCCCTAGTCATGCCTTTTTACACTGTAGAACACTTGGAGTTCTGGGCTTTGGGGTTTTGTGAACCCTAACCCTAGGCAGAACCCTAACCCTAGGTTGAAGAATTCAAGCCACATGAGGTGACTTGGTGGCAATCAGAAAACTGTGGATGGAGGAAAGTTGTGGCAGTTTTCTGTTTCGCTTACCATGTATTTTCACTATGCACTGTGCTTGATTCTCTGGGTTTTATGGTTTCTGAACCCTCAGCTAGGTGGAACCCTAATTCCAGGCTTAAGCCTATCCATAGGTTGAGCAGAAAATTGCCATGGGGATGACTCAGGTGCTACCAGAAATGTGTCGAAGGAGTGATGATGTGGCAATTTTGTGTTCTGTTAGGCATGCCTTTTGACATTGCAGAGTGCTTGGAGAGCTGAGTTTTGTGGTTTTGTGAACCCTAACCCTAGGCAGCACTCTAACCCTAGGCAGCACTCTAACCCTAGGCAGCACTGTAATGCTAGGCAGAGCTGCAAAGGCCACATGAGGCCAAGCAGGAAAATGTAGATGGAGAGAAGTTGTGGCAATATTGTGTCCCTACTGGCATGCCTTTTCACACTGCAGAGTGCTTGGAGCTCTGGGCTCTGTGGTTTTGTCAACCCTAACCCTGGGCACAACCCTCACTCTAGTTTGAGCATTGAAAACCTCATGAAGTGAGGCTGTTGGAAAGCAGAAAAATGTGGGTGGAGCGAAGTTACAGCAGTGTTGTGTTCATCTTGGCATGTCTTTTTAAACTTCAGTGTGCTTGGAGCTGTGAGCTTTATGGTTTTCTGGACCCCAACCCTCAGCATAACCCTAATCTTAGGTGTAACCCTAACATGATGCATAACTGTAATCCTATGTCTTGAAGTAAGTTCTCAATGGAATGAGTCAGGTACCAAGTAGTAAGTTGTTTATGGAGCCATGTTGTGGCAGCCTTGTGTTTTACTTGGTAGGTCTTTTGTCGCTACAGTGGGTTTAAACCCCTCGGTTTTGTGCTTTTCTGAACCCTAAGCCTAGGCAGAACAGTAAATTCTCATGCCTCTTTCATGCAAAACTCATGAAAAGCAATTTCCTGTGCTTCAGGGAGAATATGCAGCTCTGATGCAGTCGAGCAGTGACTGATGAACATGACCTTTCCCACCTTATTTGCATGGATGGCAGGCAGACCCCGATGGATCACTCCTGAGCTCTGCACCTCCTCAGGTGCGGGCGCTTGCCCCAGGGTGAGCTCCTACTTGACTCACTGTTTAGCACACACGGGATGTGTCTCCTGGATGTTCACTCCCCTCCCCTTGCTGACAGCTACAGAACTGAGAAGACAGAAATACATCCCTGGAAATCTATACCATCTAGGGTAAAATGTTGGAAATTATGGAAAGAAATCACTTCAAGCATTTCATTCTGCATCTATTCCAATACAGTACTCACAATTCCAATAGCCTTCCAACAGGACACAACAGCAGATTACCACATTGCAAACAGATACAGCCCCTCCTAGTTTGCAGTGAATGAGCTTTGATTTTGTCATTGCTATCCACCAGAGCAAAGAAATTGTGAGTTTCCACAGTTCAGACGATGATTGACAAGTCACTGTCTTGTTTGAGCCAGAGAAAAATGAAGACCACCAGAAGTGGGGTGAAGTCAGAAACTGGGAGTGAGTGTTTAAGTAAATCTTCATTGATAGCCTACTGGGATCTACATATACCATATATCCTTTTTTTTATTTATGTTTTTTTCTACTTCCCCTTCAAGAAATATTTTAAGTCCTTACTGAGGAGATCTCCACTGGCTTCTGTGACAGTTTTCCAGAAATCTGAATCGAACAATTAAAGGACCATCTTTTAGGTCACATCTTTAAAACAGAAAAGATGGTATTGTCAGGTCTACAAACTCAGTCCAGAAGAAATATTTATTTAAAAGTATTTCCCGAGGTTACAAGAAGTGTTATTTTTTTCTTCCTGTGAAAAACTGTGGCATAATAGAAGCTGACTGTAGCTCATATTGTCATTATTGAGGCTCATGCTACACATTAGACATGGTCCATGAAACACTAACCTCAAGGCAAAGTAATTTCTAATATGAATTGCTCACGCAAAGGCAATTCAGAATTGTGAAAAATAAGTCCATCCAACCTCAATTTTCATCTTCAATTTATCAAATGTTATTAAAGATAACATGAATGTGATGGTTCAAAACCTACCACTTACCTAAGAATATTTCCCTTCCTGTGCCATCTCTTTAAAAGTCTTTAAATCTTAAAATTTAAAAATCCTTATTTTGACTCTAGAAGGGAGAGTATAAAGATATTATTTATCTAGTCAAGCAAACTCTGCCTTTAAAAGTGCCAACCACCTAAATGTGGGCAAATTTATCAGACGTTATTGCAAATAATATTGACAATTCAAACTTCATCTGCAAAAATCCACAAGGGTGTACAACTGTTTATTGAAATTTTAATATATTAGATAATCAAGTTATCAGAAAATATTTAGAACCTTTAGATGAAGGCAGCTTGTAACAAAGAGGGACCAAATGAAAAAACATTCAAATGATGGGCACTTGAAAATTATTTTGGCTATAACCCTGTATAGAAATACTTGAAGTTTAATTAGATCAGGCTTCTTGTAAAAATGGGCAAGGGAAATTCTACAAGTGCCCTCTATAACCTAAACTGTTCCTATTAATGACAACAGCACTGCATTCAGCATTTCTGAAAACTCGCTCCCTTGCAAGAGTATCTCATAGTAAAAGAGTTTTTATAAATAAACTGCTCTGTTTTAATTTGTTTATTAGTCTAGGAGAATACAGAATACAGAATGCAGAATACAAAGGATACATAGGCTTCAGAGGTATCTACACTGGACAGATTGAGGTAATACAAGAGACAAAAAACAACCTGGAAATTGTATTCCTTATTTGCCAGGAGTAATGGCAATGTTTAAAATCAGATGTATCTGATTTTTTTGTTGTTTTCGTTTTTGTTCTGTTTTGGTTTGGGGTTTTTTGTTTGTTAATTTTAGGGGTTTTGGTTTGGTTTTTTGGGGGTTTTTTTACTGTACAGGTTGCCCAGTGAGTTTGTGGACTTTCCATCCTTGATGATTTGGTCCTGGGCAAGCTGGTGTGCCTAGCTCTTGTCTGAGCAGAGGGAATGGACAAAATAATCTCCCAAAGAGATTTCATGAAATGTATTATCAAGTGTACAGTCTAAAAATATATATCCCTTCCCTTTACTTGTAACATTGCAACACAATTGTAAGCATGACAAGAAACTGTGACCTTGCAACAACCTATTCAAAACATAAACATTTTTAAATTATACAAAAAGACTAAAAAACTTTAAGTCAGACTGTGAGCTGTTTCTGCACTACTGTTTTAAAGGCTGATATCAATGAAATGAGAGGAAGAGTTGCATTAGTACCATTGCATAAAACTAAAGTTTGTGGTGCTAGGAATTGAAGCACAAAACAGAACCAGATAATCACTAAAGGTGGAAAGGACAATTAAGATCATCGAGTCCAACCATTAACTCAGCACTGCCAAGTCCATCACTAAACCATGTCCATAGCTGTCACATCTACACACCTTTTAAAAACTTCTAGGGATGTTGACTCTGCCACTTCTCTGGGCAGCCTACTCCCATGCTGACAACTCTTTCAGCACAGAATTTTTTTCTGAATATGCAATCTCAGTTTCCCCTGGTGTGGCTCGAGGCTATTTCTTCTTGTCCTGTTGCTTGCTACCTGGCCAGAGAGGCCAACCCCCACCTTTCTACAACCTTCTTTCAGGTTTTCTCTGAGCCATTTCTTCTCCATCCTAAACAGCCCCAACTCCCTCAGCTGCTCCTCATAGGATTTGTGCTCCAGACCTTTCCCCAGCTCCACTGCCCTTCCCTGGACAGGTTCCAGCTCCTCAATGTCTTTCTTTGTAGTGAGGGGCCCAAAACTGAGCACAGGATTTGAGGTGCTGAGTACAGGGGGAGAATCATTGTCCTGGTCCTGCTGGCCACTGTTTCTGGTACAGACCAGGATGCCGTTGGCCTTCTTGGCCACTTGGGAACACTACTGCTCTCTACAAAGACTGAAGCCACATCTATTACTATATTGAACAAACTCAGGATTAAAAAGTCAAAGTTGTTTACGTAAGTATTAAATTTGTCTCATTTTGACCACGTACACAAACACTTTTTATGACTACTGAGCATAAGTGAGCCAATACTTGCTTTTCAGAGGAAGCTTTTTACAAGATTGTCTGAGAACTCAACCATTAACAGAAAGTGACAAGGAGAAAAGAAAAGAAATTATCTGAATAGCCCATTTGGGATTGAGTGCTTATCAGAGATACAAGCTCTGGACCACAGGGGAGAAACAGGAGATACTTGACATTGACGTTTGCAATTTATTCTCATTGAAGTCCTAAAAATGCCTTCTAAAAATCCTGAGCACCAAAGCAATGTCAAGAAACACCGAACAGTATGTATTTTCATTGATATGAATTGGAACAATAGTTTGCATTCAGAAAGCAGTTTCAGACCTTAGGATGCTACATTCTGTCTCTTTTTCAAGCACAAAATGCATTGGTTTGTTTTACTTACTAGTAGCAGTAGCAGGACAATATCAGGATTATCACAGGCACAGGCTACATGCATTGATGTCCAAAAATCCTCATCTTGATGATTTACATTTACTCCTCTGTCAATTAGAATTTCTGCAGCAAATGCATTATCGTAGCGAGCACACTAGAAGAAAAAAGAGCAGATTAGGGATGGTGTTTTTCTCAGTGTACAACTAAATTCATTACATACAATTTAAATTGGGCAGATGACGCATTGTAGTTAAGCTGCTGTGTTTGTAAGGAACAACAGCTGAGGGGAATCTATAGAAAAAATTGTGTGGAGATTTCCACTTCCATGTGCATGATTCACAGAATCCCCTATTTCCTTATGAAATCTGCTGAATACACAATAAGGATGAGGATTTTTTTCTCTTCAGTACTGTAATTGCAGATCAGAGCAAAGGCATCGGTGCATGATGATCACATCATGAGTAGTGCTATCTAAATATATGCACACCCACACATACATATGTCCATGCATACATGAATTTCTCTGCCTTTTATGCAGTACAGGGCAATGATAAACCCTTCTTCATACCCCACTTCTTTTTCAAATCCACTAACTATACTGGTTCCTGTTCAAATGTCTCTGCCAGATAAATACGCTGCACATGGGGGTGTTATTGGGGGGTAGAGGGATGCACGTGTGTGTGTATATGCATGCGTGTGTGCATGTTTCTATACCTTGGTTATAGCCACAATTTTGGTAGAGAAAAAGAAAATGGCCTAGACATTGTTTTGACCTTATTCCTCTATCACATCTGTGAATTCTTACGCATAAGGTTATGGGTAATACCTTAAAAGACAATCAGGGCACCTCAGTTAAGATCCTATCTCTGGCTTCACACACAATCTCAGTAACTCTATAGAGAAGGATCCTATCTCTTTCCCCATGGGGAAGAGATTATGGGGGGGACTTATTTTAATCTGGCATGGAAGCCAGGATACTAAAGGAAGTGGGGAAGAAGGAAAAGTGTGTAACTGGATTTAGCTGTGAAGCCAAGATATAGCTGAGGCTGTCAGCAGAATGCAGCAGCTGCATGCACCCCTGCAATCATAAATATAGATAACCCAGACTATGAATATTAAATTCTATCAGGATAAAAAGCAGTCCTACCCTAAATTATTTCCAAATATACTGACCATTAAATTATAGAACAGAAGTTAAATTCTATGTATTTCCTTTAGCTTGTGTAACTTATATGGCAGCTCTAGAAACAGTTTTGTTGCATTGGTATCATTCATTGTATCAATACAACTTAAATTGAGCTGTTCTATGCTGAAATTTAACAAATCAGAGGTAAGATATTTTATATTACAGATAGCATAATCTAACACCAACCATATTTTCAAGCCATTGTTAAGAAAAAAAAAAAAAAAGAGAAAAAACAAAAAAACAAACAAAAATTCAGTTCTAGAGATGACAGGTATCCCTGACCTATTTTGTGTATTAACAATAGACATAGAGCCTTTTGTGATTAGTTGCAGCTTAGATTTGTTGCTGTTCCTTGATTCTTGTTCAATAGGTTTTGTGAAACAATTGGACAAGCTCAGTTAAAGATCCAGAATAAAACTGTGACACATTTGTTATAAGGGTGGGTGATTGCCTGTGTGCATTGACCTGACACCATGTGCCTCATACTGTATGGGCAGCTCAGGCACATACTCGCTTTTAATTGTACTTCTCCTCTCATGGAACCTAAAGAGAGGTCAGTGAATACCTTTGAAGTTCCCATAGCTTGCCTAGATTCAACCATATTGGGATACACTCCACAGAGACAAAAGCAGAATCATTATCAAGTGTCACATTTGATTTTTTTTTTTTTTTTTAGAATCATATCACCTTTTGGAAGTTAATAGATATGGAAAAGGAAAACAGAATCATATAATGGATGAGATTTTAAGAATAATGTCAATATACATATATTTTCATCCCTTCTGACACCAAAACATTTAGCCCACAAGTAGGAAGAATAAACAATAAGCTCCCCTTTGGACCAAGCAGCTTCACAGTTGTAAAACTAACACTTTGAATGGATTTGAGTGGGCTTTAAGAATATAACACAGGTGCATGCTAAATTACTAGTTTCAATTCTTGCTGACAAATAAGTTTGGCTTGTTTCCCTGTATCTGTCTGTACTGCTCTCAAATTAGAGTCAAATGCAATTTAATTGAATTCAGGTTTGTCTCTATCTCCAGTAGGATGAGCATTTTCCTCTAAATGAATTATGAGTATTTACAAGTAATTCTGATTAAACTGAGGCAGTAGGTTACACATAGCTCTCTATTGCAAATTTCTTACTGCAGAAAGCTTTCCTTCCTTTTGAAGCATATGTGTGCCCGTGAAGCAGCACGCACCAGCTGAGAGATAGTGATTGTGACAGTGAATTGGGGCATGATGCAGATCAAGAAACCTAAAATAGCACAACTCAACTGCAGATTTTATCTGTAGTTATAAACTGTGCATCAGCTAAACTAGATAAAGCAACTTAAAATCCCTGAAGATGAATTTTTCTTTCTTTCATTTTAAAATGCCTGACATATGTCAAATCATCCACATTGAAGATAAAGATTGTCTCCTAGGGCTTTTGGCATGGGGTAGGATTTGGGATGCCTCTGTTTTGAGAATACCAAAGAAAACCAAATCTCATTTGGACTGCATTTTTGAAGAATGATTGAGCATCTTTACAGCAGAGAAATAGTTGGAGAAGAGAAAAGAGAATTGAAATTTTTCTCTTCCAAATCAGTACTGCACTTTCCCCTTACTTTGGCGTCTGTTTCCTAAAGTCCTCGGTAAATAGCGTGGCTATGGAAGATGGAAAACACAAATTCATTACATAATGGAAATACTGTATCTTGCAAGAGCATGGTTACAGGTGTGCTGGAGTCCGGTAATATTACAGGGGCTCCTTCTCATCAATAAATTACTGTATTTTGTATAAATACAATGAAATATGTGATCCAGCTGCTCTAAAATGAAACACTCTGCCAGCAGACTTTTTGTCACTTTGCTCGGTCACAGTTCTTTGAGTCACAGTGTGCAATAAAGTTGGATCCAAATGTCTTAAAATAGTTTCACATTGAATAGACAGCATGTCTGCGACTGAAGCATCACAGACCAAAGAAAAGGATTGTAAGATGTAGGAATTATTTATGAGTTTTGCTACTGGCTTCAGCAATGTTAAAATTCCTACTCCTATGGTATTTTCTTTTTGTCTGCCTTTCGTGTCCATACCTCTTGTTTTTACTTTCATTATTATATACAAAACGTTTTTCTTTTATCTGCCCGTTACTTAATCTGAATTGCTATGCAAATAATGATAAACTAAGTGCAGATAATGTGTTAAATATCCATATGTAGGAAACTGGTGCAAGAAAGTATCACAAAAACAAAAGGAAAATGCTAAACCATGGGGTTTTTTTTCATACAGCACCTCTGAATCTTTGAACCATATAATTTTGTATTTGGAATCATGCAGTATTTCCTTTGCTCTTTCTTGCTGCACACATAATTTCTAAATAAAACACTTCACTCTCCTTTGTTAGCTACCACTCCTATGACATGATCCATTCTTTTGTAAGCAATTTGAAAGTGATCATTTATTTAAAATCTTGGATGCAATTATAGCCATGGCAGAGCTCAGTGTATATTAAAAAAATTGCTAAGCCTTTTTTCTTTGTTAATATGCCAAATCTGCTACTCACTATCCCATCATGTTTATCCACAGTCACTAACACTAATCTTCAATCACTCTTACCAGATGGAGCAAGGAGCCTCCTGAGGAAAGGAGCATATGAGGGTCAGCACCATCCTTCAACAGCCGTAGCACTGAAATATCAGATAAAAGAGAAACAAGAGTTAATATACCTAATATAACTGCAGTACACCTAATTCTGAATTGTTAATAGGCTGATTCTTAATCATCTCCATCAGTGGATTTAATAATATATTAAAACCTTATGTAATGGCAAAACTATCATGTCAGCATTTGCCATCTCACCTGTTTTAATAGCTAAGCCTGTAAAGCAAAAGATCTTTGATAATGAACAGTAAATATCAACAGCATCAAGGACTTTTCAAGTATACAGATGAGCATGTCAATTTTGTTCATACGACAGGGGAGGGGAGGGCTGGAGAAAAGAGCCATGTCAAGGTCACAATCACCTGATAGTTCATTTGGGAGCAAAATCACAGTTAAATGGTGTTATTTTACTTTTCAAAGTTCCCATGTGATATATTGTCTTTTTCAGTAAATATTTGAAACTAGTATTCATAACTGATATCACTTGAAATTAATCATCATACCAAAGCTAAATGATCTGCACTCAATTTAACCTTTCCAGTGCATTGTCAGATCACTGATGCAGCATAATCTTTAAAACGATATTTGGAGCCACACTCCACTCCCAGTTACATGTATCAAACCCCTGTGAAATGAAAACAGGCTTATAAGTGCAAGCAAAACCACAGCCCTTCACATTGGTGCTCACTCAAGTGTGAAAATTCAGCACTTTTCCCCCATGGTCTTTATTGCCTTTATAACCTTTTCAGTCTGAATCCAAGCCCTAACTGACTCATGGAAACAGTGCTCATTCCTTGAACAGAACTGTGCAGTAGCAATGTCTGGCAGTACCAGGGGACTCCACACCAGCATTGCAACCCTGTCTTCATTAAACTGCCATGAAAAACCCTCTTAAAAGGCCTCTGTCCATGAGAATAGCTGCCAATAATATTTCCTGAGTGGGAGCACAGGTGGGTTTGTCTTGAACTTAATTCTTAGTTAAGATGCTGGATGGACACTTGTGCGAACAACTGCAAAGAAATTTTAAGTTGTGAAATGGGTTCCACTGAGATGCCTGTCTTACAGGAGGGCCAGAGATTTGTCTCAAGGCTCTTCTGTGAATCTGTCAATAGACTCATTACCACCACCTCTTTCCTAGCTATACATTTTCTGTAGCTGTTATCTTTCTCCCAAGGATATATTGCAACTCCATTTTCACTGTACATTTAAACTTGTTACAGCATTCAGACACTTACTTAACCAATTTGAAAGGGGTAATTTTTCTTTTCAAATATCGTCAATTTATAGAAGCAAAGTTTTCTGAATGTGCTGAATTATTTTTGACCGGGTGCCCTAGAAAAATTTCTCCTAAGAAATAATATTTGGTTAAATAGTGGCAAGCCTGCAAAATTAGAGATAAACACTTGGTATCATCATTACTAAACACATCATATAGCAAAAACACTGGTATAATGGACAAATATTTATAATAGTTAGGCAAATTCTTTTGCTTTTTTAAACCTTAAAAATAAAAGATCAACCAAAAGTACTGTATTAATTTTTACTTTATGAATAGTTCCATGGTATCTATTTCTCCTCACCAAAGGTCTTGCCTCATTTAATTTACATAACTGTAAAAGACTTACACGTTCTGGCAAATGCCACTTTGAAACTTAGCCATTATTAGAAGTCCCTGTCATTCCCAGCACATCCACCAAAAGTAGAATGGGAGCATTAGGTAATATAGAATAAAAAAACCTGCACAACACCTGTCAAGTAAGATGAAAATATTTACAAAATTTCACAATGTCAGGAGAAATGGTTGTACAATAAAACGCAAACCATTCCTTTCTGCTCTCTTAGATCCACAAATCTGATATTGAAGAACACACTTGTCCTCATCCAGAGAGTCACCACTAAAAATAGAGGTTCAGAACTAAGTATCTTTTTTTAATACCTAAATTGCTGACCACATATGAAGATGCTCTCTCTACCTCAGGTTGAAAGTGAGTAAAGACTTATAAATCCTCCTTCCTTAAACAGGCATGCAACTAGATCCTCCTCAAGAGTTAATGTTTCCAATGTTCCTATGCTATGCCATTTCTTTAGTAGGGCAGAAAATATTATTTCCATATCACAGAAGATTTCTTAAGTCTCTGAAAATAATTTCATTCTCCGAATCCCATCAGGATTTCACCTGAAGAAATTAACACTCCAAAGTGTTCCTTTTTCTCCATCTCCTGTTTTCCAGGGGGAAAAAAATTCACACATCATGTGGTGGCAGAGCAAGCACACTGTGCGTTGGTGGCAGAAGTCTGATATTGACTAGATCTGATATGAAGCAGCATCCTCAGTCTGTGTTTCTACAAGATGGGATAAGATAGGTAAGGCGTTAACCAAAGGAGTCTGTTCCTTTCCTGCACTCACAAAGGGACTTACACACCTTTAGCTCTGGCTGTCTCTGCATGTGAGAACTGACTCTGATGCACAAAAAACAACACCAGCAAAAATCAAATGTGGAATTTTTCTTGTTGGGTCACTGAGATGAACTCAGTCATTATGATACTTGGGATGACCTAAAGTGGCTTTAGGATAGGTCCTTCTATGCAAAGACAGGATGAAGACTTCTCTCTTTTGGCAGAACCAGGACACATGGGAAGGTCAGTGGGTTGGGAAATTGCATTTCTAACAGTATTCCACAAGAATTTCATCTGGAACCTAAAATAGTAACCAAGAGACAGAAAGAAACTCTAGCTATTCAAGTATAAAAAATTGGGGCAATTTATTGGATATCTTCCTCCCACCAACCCCTGAAGACTTGGTTCTCACAGAGAAGCTATGCAAAACAAAACCTTTCCAGATCCATTTTGCAACTCCTTGCAGTTGAAACAAAAAAAAAAAAGACAGACAATTTCTAGATCCGAATTTGAAATCCATTAGAATTAATTGGTTTGCCTTGATTTTTTTTCTACCAGCAGAAATGCATACTAAGATTACAGCATAAAGAATTAATATGTTAACTCCGATCTTCAAGTAGAATATTAAATAATTGTGACCATAAACAAATTACTGAATCTCATACAAAAACATTCCTTCCTACTATACAACCGACTTAGATCATTTACTTAAGACTTCACTAGCCAGTAGAAAATATTCACCTTATGTTCATATTCTCCTTTTGCTAGAACTACTACCTAGAAGTAATTAGATAGTAAATACTAGCTACTGATATAATTTGGGATTTAATACCCTAATGAGGGCAGAACGTAATATAAAACTCTATTCAAGAAATGCAAAATATATCTTAATTAATGCAATTTTAAGGAAGCTTTCACAATACTTTCTTTTACAGCTTGTTTTACTTGCAATCTTTCATGTAAGAAAAGTTTACAGGAAAGATGAAACTAAAAACTGACTTACAAGCAGGAAACTGACATTTACCTGAAAAAAAAAAACAATCCCAGAGTAAAAAACTTTCAGCAAACTCTGAAGCCCTTCCTGTGTATAAACAGGTCCATCCATTCACTGATATCTTTTAGATTTGACACACAAAATTATTGACAACCTAGAATAGAATTTCATACCTAATTTCATATCCAATAAAGATGTTTTAGAAAGCATTGGATGCATTAATGAAGTCTCATCAGAAAAGAAAGATAATAATCAACAGAGCTTTTTACATATCCTTGATGTTGCAATTTTAACAAAATTATCCAGAGAGCTGAATACCTTTTCACTTTCCATTGATTGTATTGACTAGATTACAATTTATAATATAACCTTATAATACAGTAAAGTCATTATTGCTCTGCCTGTTACCAGGCACAAGTCTCGTACTAACTTTGTTTGTGGAACTAGGGCTGTAAGGCTTTACTTTTTCTGGGTTAGTCTTGGCTTGCTTTGAGCTTTGTTTTAGTTATAGCAACTGGCTGATGACAAGGTGACAATTACCTAGCATAGTTTTGTTTAGCTCTGTGTAACTGCGGTGCATAATGCATTAAGGATTTTGATATACATGGCAGCAACTATAACTGTGGTTATAATCTAGCTACATTGGCATCTAAAGCTATCTGTGACCTTATGTATGCTACAGACAAAAGGAGTACTGATCTGAAGTCACAGAAGAGCCTGAAAAGTGAATTCAGAGGGCCCAGACCTATCAGTAACTCACCAGGGATCTGCTACTGATGGCCACACAAACGTAGTCTGGGCAAGGCTGCATTCACAGCAAACAGTTTTAGTAGCAACAGAATAGACAAAAAAAAGTCACCTAATATATGTAAAACCTAACATTTGGCCATCTACTGTGCTGCAGTGCCAGTGTATGCTCCTTTTAACTGTTCTTCTGGGGAATAGCAGACAGCAAGTGTAAACTCTGTTCCTGTTAACAACTATTTTTGTTCTCTTTAGTTTAGCAGGCATAACTCCAGCTGGAAGGCTTTACTTGTTCATGATGTGCATAAACATGACTTACTGCTGCAGAAGCATAGATAAAATGCTGCTGATTCTGGAATGGATTATCACATTCTCCTCCTACCCCAGGCTGCAGGTTTTTGTCACTTGGAACATAGCAAAGTTTCCCAACTAGACTAAGAATCAGAGAATGTGGCACTAGGTAAGGGACATGAATAGGGAAAATGGTGTAGCCACCACTTTCCACCAATAGCTGAAAGTAGTTTGGGCATAAACAGACAATGAAATTGAATCACAATGAAAGGAATGTCAGATTTGTCTTTACAAACAAGCTGTGGATCTGCTGGTAGATAAGACTAGCACTGAGACATAAAAGAAACAATGGGATGGATTCCACTGATTGATGAATGGGAAAATATATTTGCCTTTACACACAATTTGTAGGTTTGCTGATAAATGAAATTGGAAATTGCGTATTGAAAGATGAAAGAAGCAATGGGGAAAAACTATGAATTCTATGAGAATTCAAAATTAAAAGGGAGGATTATACATTAGAGGGGAATCTTAGGTATCAGGTGTTCTCGGAAGTCTGTACCTCTCAAGTACTTCAGCCAATGGGGAAAGAGAGAGGGAA